CTTTGAGGGTTTTTCCAAATCTTTATCTGCACCTCCCTTTATTCCACTACTTGGATGGGAAGGTTTTGTGAAGATCCCAGAGAATTGCCTTCAGTAAGTCATGTACCTAAGAGGTTTTTCAGAAGGTGATTCTTTGCTGAAGAAAGGGAAAATGATCATGAAGCCAGTTCAGCAAGAAAATGCCTCATTCTGGCAGACACCTGGGGCAGGAAGCCCAGCTTTCTCTCTGCCATGATACACAGAAAGATTACCAACAACTCACAGAATAATATTCACATGAAACCTCCAGGGAGCTCCCAAAATCCTACTGATAGATGCTATAACAGCCCTGCAATGTCACCATACCTCGGTGACACCCTGGGCTCCTACAAAGCCCAGAACAACCAGACTGTTTACCAGAACAGAACCAAAGGGAGAGAGCAGGAAGTGACCCAGCAATATCTAGCAACGGCCTGTCCAACAGCCTTGCATGGCTAGTGGGGTCTGGGTCCAGGGAGGACATGGAAAGTGTCCTATTTTAATGTCCCAATATCCCTGAGGAGAAATAAACTAACTGACGGAAATGTAACAAAACAGTCAAAAGCAGATGAAACAGCTATGGAGATTGTGAAACAGGTCCCAATTTATTTGTTCAACTACCCCAACTTTTCTTTAAAATTGAAAATAAAAGTAGGCTTGCCCCCATTACTCTTATTCCCCGCCCCCCACTTCTTCCAAATGTTCTTTCCAATTCCACCCTCTGGGAGGGGGAAAAATGGTTTTTGTTGCAGATAGAACTTTTAAAGGCTAAAAGGCACTCCAAAACAAATGCACCAGAAAAGTGTGCAAAACATGAATGTACAGTGTGCCAAAGCATTATAATGCAAGTACTATAATTTATGTCAATAAACAGAGCATGGAGTATGGTACCCCATTTGTCAAGGGCGTGTGTGTGAAAGAGAGACAGAGAGAGAGAGAGAGAGAGAGAGAGAGAGAGAGAGAGAGAGAGAGACCTGGCTGTACTCAAGGCTTATTCTTGGCTCTGTGCCCAGAGGTCACTTCTGATGGTGCTCAGGAGACCATACAGGGCTCCAGGGGTCCATCATGTGCAAGGCAAGTGCCCTACCCACTGCCCTATCTCACCAGAACAACTCCCCCTCCACCATTTTTCTCTTTCTGGCCATAAGGCTTTCTCTGCCCTCCTAGCCCAATAACTACTTGTTCTTGTGACTTTTGTGAGAACAGCATTCTTGCTGTTCTCATAGTTTCACCACCTAGTTATAAGTATTTCTATCCGATATAAGGGTGTTCCCCCAACTCTGCTCCCTTCCCTTGGTGGTTGCTGTGGGCGTATCCAGAGCTCACACATTTGATTGCTGCAGTGCTCACACACTCGGTTGTGGCATTTGAGAACAACATCAATACCAGGCCTCATGCCTGTAAGGCACACATGGCCACTGAACCACAGCCCCTTATCCAGTAGTTGCATTTGGCTTTAAACTGCATGTAAGAGAATTAAGCTGAATGCAGTCTTCTTGAGTTCCTTGCTTCAACATTTTGTTTGTAAGATCCATTTGTATAGAGGCATGTGACTCCTTCATGCATTTTCAGTGATATACAATGTTTCATTAAGGAGTGTAACCTAATTGATTGTTTCTGCTGGTGATGAGAAGCCCTCCAAATTTTCCTAGTCTGGAGAAGTTTGAATGAGGTTTTAATGACCTTCCTGGGCATGCACTTGGTGAACATTTACATGTATTTTGCTAAACCCTCATGTGGAGAAGGGCCAAGTTGGTGGTTACAACAAGAATCTCACGTTATTTGGGAGTTCTCTTGTAGCCAGGGAGAGCAGCACCTTTTCACACATTATTGGCCACTTGGATTTCCTCTTCCGAGTTGATGCTGTTCATCTTTGACCATTACTCCATGGAGCTGACTATCTTTTTCATAGAAATTTATAGTTCTTTATATAATTTGAATCTAACTTCTTCACTGTATGCATTACAAGTATCTTCGCTCCCTCTATAAATTGCCTTTTATTTCTCTCACATATCAAATTCATCAATCCTTTGCAATTGGTGGCTTTTATACAAAGTATTTATATGTTATCACTTGTGAAGATATTGTCACATTATTTTTAAATTTTAATCTGTACTTGGATCCAAAAATCTGTTTATGGTGTGAGTTAGAGGGAAAGTCTTTTTGTCACTAAAATACGTCATTTTAGGACTCCATAAAGTCACCTGTGGTCCTAACACTACCAGAGGGAGTCTTTCCCTAGATTCTGGCATACAGCTGCTCTCATAAGTCGTGCTGTATGCATTAGTGTTCATCTGTGTGTGGAATCTCTGTAGTCCATCCCTTTGTCTGTGAGTCTGGGCTCTCTCACTTCAGTATATGGCTTTATCTGCTACAGCCAGACCTCCCCTCCTATTCTTTCTCTTTAAGAGTATTCTAGTTATTGTTGACATTTATTTTTCACTTGGATTCAGAATAGAATGCTATAATCTTAATAGAGTTAAATTCTGTATAGTATTTCTTAAAAGCCAGGGAGAGGACCCAACTGGTAAAGCAAATGCTGAGCAGGTGCAAAGCTCTGAGTTAGTGTTCTAGCACCCCAATCCCCCCAACACTGTGAGGTATGACTCTGGTGGCCTCCTAGAACCAAACAGACAAGAATTCTATAAATTTTATATAATACATAAAATAATATTTGGTATTTGTTCATTTATTTTTTCCAAACCATAAACTTGTAACATTTCTATTCTTCGTCATCTAAAGTATTTCTTAATATAATTTTATAATTTTCACCAAAGAGGCTCCATGCATCTTTTTTATATTTAGTTATTTGATCATTTTATGCCATTTAAATATTACATTTTCCAAAGTTTTTTCTCAGTATTTCCAAATATTAGAAATAAGATTAAAAGATGGACTCGAGGTGACCTAGGGATAGGGACCTAGGGACAGGGTATTGGGTACTTTGGTGATGGTGAGGCAAAGTTACTTGTACATCAAAGTCATAAACATTAACATTATTGTAACCGTGTTACCTAAACTACAATAAAAACTTTTAAGGAAATATAATTGATTTTTAATTGTTCTCATGTCTAGTTGTTTGTGTGTCTAGTAAGTCTGTTAAAATTCTATTATAGATATATATGCACACCCATTACCTAGATTCTTTCTAATTCCTATATACCATCATCTTTCAATAATGACAGTCTTGTTTCCTCCTTTCCTGTCCTTCTTCCACTCGCCTTACTCCTTCCTGATTGCAGTTGCCCAAATCTCTGGTGCAGTATTGAATACAAAAGTGATCATTATAGGTATCCAGATATGCTTTTCTTAATCTTTCTTGAGGTATTGTGATTTGCAGTATTGTTAATGATAGTTCATGCAGGCATCATTTAATACTACACTCATTACCAAGGTCCCAAATTCTCCTCCCATTCCACCCCCTCAACACCCACCCTTCATAAGATAAGTTTTGTTGGCCATTTGTTTCTCCTTACTTTGCACTTTTAAATCCCACATATGAGAGAGATCATTCTGTGTCTCCCCTTCCCTTCTGATTGACTTCACTCAGCATGATACCCTCTAGTTCCATTAATGTCGTGGAAAATTTCAAGATTTCATCCTTTCTTAGAGCTTGAAGTTTATTTTTTAAACTCTAACTACATGTTCTTCATCATTTGGGGGGTGGGAGTTAACCACTGTATTTTCTCCTTTTCTCTTTCTCTCTCTCTTCTAGAACTCCAACAAAACATATGTTCACCTACTGTTCCCCACATTTTGTCTTTATGCCTCTCTAAACTCCAACCTGTCCTGAGCTTTTTCAGGTAAGAAGTTATCTTTTCAAGTAGATAAAGGATCAAACATGATAGCCACTCAGTATCTGTATTGCAAACCATAATGCCCAAAAGTAGAAAGACTATGGGGGAAATTGTCTAACATAGAGGCAGGGGGAGAATTGGGATGGGGGGTGATACTGAGGACATTGGTGGTGGAAAATGTACACCCGTGAAGGGATGGGTATTTGATCTTTGTATGACTGAAACTCAAACATGAAAGATTTATAACTTTATCTCACGATGATTCAATTAAAAAATTAATTTTAAAAATTTTTAATTTTTAAAAATTCTCTTTTCAGTCTTGCCAAATCTGTTCTTAACTTTGTCCACTGTGACTTTAACTCCAGTTATTTTCCTTTTCACTTTGGGAAGTTACTTATAGTCCTTATTCAAATTCTTTGTCACTTTTTCAAATTTAGGCACCATGGTTTATTGTCCTAATATTAATGTTTCAAGAAGACTGCTACACCACACCCAGAACCGGAATATGTAGTCCCACCATTCCTCTACCAGACTCCGGGAAACTTCTCATCTCTCCAACTGACCCCTCTTAGCAAATTCAGCTCTCTAAACAGACTATCATTTAAAATTTAAAAAATCATTGACCATCTTTATTCTTTTACATTCCATATGTGAAACAAATTATTTCCTTATATTCCACACATGGGACAATCGTCTCATATTTGTTCTCCCTTTAACTAATTCCGTTTGACATGAAACCAGCCCCCACTCTTCACCCCCATTCCCCATTCCAGGTTGTGCAAACTGAAGGATTTCACCCTTTCTTCTTCCCTGCAGCTTTTTAAAGCTGGAATTTCAAAACCACAAAAGATGGAAGGTTCTGCCAGCCTCAGGACTTCAGGCATTATGAAATGTGATTGAAGTTGGTGGTTTTAGGGTTAGGGTTAGAACCCAGAGTACCTCCTATTTCCCTGTATCTGGACTCCTGCAGTCAGCACTGACTCAGCAGTTGTGTGGGGCACCGCGGCGTTGGCTAGACTCTCTTCCTCCTGATCAATGGCAGTTGTTGGGCAAGTCTCCTGGAAGCCTTGAGTGATGAAATTCATCACCCCAGTAGGAGAAAGGGTCTGTGAATTCTCAGGTCCTCACTCCATCCCACTTCCTTCCTCTCTTGAAAAGCTAAAAGGTCTGGCAGGAGGAAGCAGCAGCTCAATGGGCAGCCTCCCCGAGAAGATGCAGACCCTCCTGCTCCTGGTGGCCTTTCTCCTACCCGCTGGAGCTGGAGCAGGTGAGTGACCAGCCCCCTTGCTGAGACACCCAACCGCACCCACAGACTCTGCAGCCAGACTCCTAGGCACATCTTAACTAGAGCACTGGACAATGTTTCCTCCAGTTCTTTATATAATGAGAGACTCTTAATGCCTAAGTCATAGATTTACTATGGGAGCTGTACTGATATACACAAAACCTTCAGAGTAGGCCCTGGCACACAGTACCTGCTATATAAACACATTGTCTCAATTTACCCTGCAGGGCCAGAGCAATAGTTCAGCGGATAGGGTGTTTGCCTTGCACATGACCTACCCAGATTCAATCCCTAGCATTTCACTTGGCCCCCCAAATATTGCCAAGAGTAGTTCCTGGGTGCAGAGCCAAGAATAACTCCTGAACATCACCGGTGTGACCCCAAAAAGGAAAGTATCAATGCACCCCAAAGCTCTTGTGTCAGACCCAGAAGATAAGGATAAATCATCAACTGTGCTATCAGCTTATCTGTAGATTCTTAGAAGCAACTCCTTGTCAGTCACAAGCCATCTGGGCTGCTCCCTGGGGAAGTATCAGGGAACTTCCAGGCACTTCAGAGGGCTCTGAATTTGCCCTCTGAGGGCAGAGCTCCTCTTCTCAGTATGGGACACTGGCACTGCCTGGCCTAAGCAGGGATTACTCCTTTGGGGAGACAGGCAGGAGCTGAGGTCTGGGATGGAGAGTGGATTTCCCTGCAAGCCGGCCACGCTTCCTGCAGATCCTCCTCCCCAAGGACAGTGCCCTGCAGATTCCAGTTCTCACCCTGCCCCCTCCTCCCCTTCTTCCCTCTCCTTTTGCCCTATCCTCTGGTCCTCCTGAAGCCCCACAGGGCCCAGGGAGTGGGTGCGGAGAGCACAGAGGTTACAACTGCTTCCTTCCAGGGGAGATCATCGGAGGACAGGAGGCCAGGCCCCACTCCCACCCCTACATGGCATATCTCCATATCGACACCCCTGCGGGGGGAATCACTTGTGGAGGGTTCCTGGTGCGGGAAGACTTTGTGATGACGGCAGCTCACTGCAGGGGAAGGTGAGGATGAAGGCGCCTCCTGTAAAAGGTCCCGAGTTGCTCCAGAGAAGATCCATGGGAAAACAGGGTTCTATCATGAATACGAGGGAATAAGAGACCCAGAGGGGTTGAGGGACAAGGAAGGATCGAGAGCAAGAGGAGAAAAGGAGGCTGTGGCCAACAGAGCAAAAAGAGTGATGGAGGCACACAGTGGGGCTGAAAAGACAAATTCAACCATAGTTTCTCATGATTCGAGGGCAAACAGGACTTACAGTCACTGTGTCCACCTGGACCCCTCTCAGGACTGTGACGAATCAGACCGCACGGACCGCTCGGCCCCAGAGCTCTCTGGCCCCAGGGGTGGGTGGGCTATGCTCTTGCCCTGTTACCTGGATGTTTCTTCTACAGCTCCATCCTCGTTACCCTGGGAGCCCACAACATCGGGAGGCAGGAAAGTTCCCAGCAGCAGATCCCCGCGCGCAGAATCATCCCCCACCCTGGTTATGATACTCAGGACAATCGCAACGACATCATGTTACTGCAGGTACCACCTGCCACAGCCTCTGTTCTGCCGCTTACCCCACCTCTCCTCAGTCCCAATCCCCACCCAGCGAGGGGGCTTCTCAGAAGATAGTGGGGCGGACTGGGGGGACCCTGGGGGGAGTGAGAGGTGTGCCAGCCCCTGAGTGGACCCACTTCCTTCCAGCTGGAGAGCAGAGCCAGTCTAAACCGCTTCGTCCAGCCTCTACGCCTGCCACACTCCAGAAGCAGGCTGCCTCCGGGCACCACATGCACCGCCGCGGGCTGGGGTCTGATCGGCCTGAACCGGAGAACCCAGAACCTCCAGGAGGTGCGGCTGAGAGTGCAGAGGGATGAGCCGTGCAACCGGCGCTTCCGCTTCTTCAATGGCCTGACGCAGATTTGCGTGGGGGACCCAAGGGAGAGGAAGTCCGCGTTCAAAGTAAGGATGCAGGCGCACCGTCCGACTGCGCAGGGGCCTGGGCACGCTTTGGGTTTGAGCCAGACAGCTGCCCCGCGGTCACAGTTGAGGTTTCCCATTTCTGCCCCAGTGAATGCATCTCACTTCACCCCTGTGATGTGAGAGCAGGGAACAGCAAGTACAGATGTGCTTCCTGGGGAAGGTGAGGTACCTTGATGGCTGGGTTATGCTGGAGAGAGTGAGCATAGTGAAACCCAGAGACAGAATGGAATGGCAGTTTGACTCTGAAACCTAGTCTCCTATCACACAAACATCATACACACACACACACACACACACACACACACACACACACACACACAGAGGAAAGGGCCCACCCACCTCTGCCTTTTCTGGAGATTAGGCCTTAGGGGCAGAAAGAGCCTGCTGGAGGTCTGACTCAGTGTCCCCTTCTTGATCATTCACAGGGAGACTCCGGGGGTCCCTTGGTGTGCAACAATGTGGCCCAGGGAATCGTGTCCTATGGAGACAACGTGGGAACACCGCCGGCCGTCTTCACCAGAATCAAAAGCTTCATGCCCTGGGTCAGGGAAACAATGGGATACTTGGATCAGTCTGAGGCCCTACCATGACTTCTAGGGCCGGGGGAATTTGCCAACCTTAGCCAATGTCCATATCTAGAATGGAAACCATCGAGTATATTAAACACCTGCTCATTAAACATTCAGTACATAACAGGTTTGTCAGCAGTGAGTCTGAGTTCTCTGATGCAGAGTACCAAGATGAGCATCTTCCCACCTCCAAGTTTTTACCATGCTGATCCCCCCAACTGCCTGAGGACGGCGACATGGGCTGTACCCAGGCAAGGCACTACCAGACTCCCCTCCAAAGAGCAGGAATACCTCAAGAACCATATGCCACAGACTCAAGAAACAGAATCCTGCTTTCCTGCAAGGCCTAATGTGATATAAGTTAGGGGGTGGGGGAGGGCACCTCAAGTCACTGGGAAAAAATTAACTTCCAATGCATAATATCAGAAGAACTAGACAAACTTTTGTATTACTAATCCTGTATTGAAAGTAGTAAGAGTTTCCATGGCACCAAATGAACCATTTCTGAGGTTTTCCCCAAAATAAAGTTTAACAGCTCCAGCTTCTTGCGTGTTTATCAAAATACAAAAGAAAAAAGTAGAGGTCATTGTTCTTGATGGCAAATCTGACCCTTGTAGGCTGAGGGCGGGAAAGCTCCTTAACGTGTGCTCCAAGGGGTGTGACTCTAAGGTAATCAGCGCTGCCTGCCCACTCACACTCCTGCTGGTGAGACCCAGACAGCCCAGATTGAGCATGGGGATGACAGCATTTTCCAGCTACACTGACCTGAGGTACATAACAGGTTTGCCACCACTAAGTCTGGGTCCCTGTGACAGGTCCAAGAGCAGCTAGCTGCATAACCACAGTCCATCTATCTCCCGGATAGTGATTTAAACACAAATACAAACACAAATGCTATGGATATGGGACCAGCAGCAAATCTGAGGGATCCTATTGTGACCACGTAGGATGTTCGCAACATGTTCGCAACAGGAAACAGAACCAAAGAAAACAGGCCTTTACTGTAGAATCTACACTAGATGCATTCTCCTTTCTGTGTTTATGTGTTCTCCTTATCTCGTATTTTAATTATTTACAACTAAACAGATATTTGAAGACAAAAGATAAAATTGAATCCATTCCTCTCAATAAAATTAAAAATTGACCTCAAGTGGGTCAGAGAACAGAAAGTTAACAAATTAAGTGCTGGGTAAATAATACCTCGGATAGGGCAAGAGGATGACCTGGGTTCAATCTTGGTACCACAGAGGGTTCCTCAAGCCTTACCAGGAATGATCCTTGAGTACCAAGAGCAAGCCCTGAACACTGCCAAATGTGGCCTCCCAAAAGAAGAAACCAAAAAAATGTCAAAAATTAAGCAATAAAGAAACTTGAAGAGAGCTATTTAAGTTAGGGATTTAGGTGCATGCTTTGTTTATAGCAGTCAACCAGGCTGCCATGTGAAAGGGACCGTTGGTGCCCTGTTGGCCTTTTCCAGCAGCCCATCGGATAGGAGCTGATCACCACAGAGAGATCTGGGTGAAAGATGCACAGAACTATCCGTTGCTGGCCTGGCCACAGCTGATTGCTGATAGAGACACTGGCTGCATCACGAGATTAATGAAAAAAACATCCCAGATTTAAGGAACTTAATCAAAGGCATAGGAAAGGGGGCTTGACAAGTGTCCCTCATGACTACTAATCAAACTCAGGCTGCTGGGGAGAATGAGAGAGCAGAGAAGAAAACAAAGCCAGCTGTTCTTGGGGCTACAATAAGCTACACCAAAAATCGGAGCCGAAACCCCCAACTCTTTTTCTGCAATTCCCCACAGAAAGAGTTCTGCCCTAAGATCTCAAAATCCACTTCTTCTCAAACCTACAGTTCCCTGACTTTTTGGCTCCCTCACACATCAAGCACGAGCACAATTAAAACATACTAAGAAGGAACCAGAGAGATAGTACAACAGGAGACTGAACCTGGTGGCTGACAGGGGGACATGAGAGTAACAAAGCCATGCTCTGAGGGAGGTGAAGCTGTGACTCATGAAGGCCAAGAGTGAACGCTTTCTGTTTTACAACTACAGTTTCCACACAGTGGGGATGATCCAAGGAGGAGAAGAGCATCACCCACAACAACCACACCTCCCTCCCCTCCATGCAGTCCTGCTTCCTCCTGCAGGGGGAAGTCAGGGAGCTGCAAGCAGTCTCCAGGGTCTGAGTCTGGTATCTGGTATGGTAGGAACTGGAATCCTTCTTCTGGGCTCCCTCCTACCATCCCCAAGACATGTCTTTTCATCCAAGTAGCACGGTACTGTAGCACTGTGCTCCTATTGTTCATCAATTTGCTCGAATGGGCACCAAGTATAAAATAAAATTAAATGTAATATACTTTAGATTCCAGACTTGAAAACTTATATACATAAATGAGAATACACATTTTATTATATAGTATTAAATGGTTTTGTTTTCTTATTTACATAGGTCAAAATCATATAGTAATCACCAATTGGCTCTTACTGATTTATTTTTTTTCTGTAGGAGTACTGCTATTTATTCAGCCACTGATTAGCTGATTGAATTGGGCATGAACTCCACCTTACTTTTTTTTCCTTTCATAATTTAATTTTGTTCTTATATTTATTTATTGAATCACTGTGGGAAAAGTTGAAAAGCTTTCAGATTTAAGTCTCAGTCATACAATGATCAAACATCTTTCCCTTCACCAGTTCTCATTTTCCACCACCAAGAACCCCAATATACCCCCATCCTACCCATCCCAATGCCTGTGAGGCAGATGATTTCTACTTAACTCTTCTCTACATTGATTACATTCATTATTTTGACAAAAGATGCGCCATTATTGTTTAGAATTTCCCCCCCAACAATCAGAATTGCTGAAAAGTCATTGTAAAATACTTTGTTTTCTATAGTTGGTTATGAGAATCATATAATGTCACGGGGCCGCAATAGCGGTCGCACGATTTTGGATTTCTGCAAAGAGCCAGATAATTACGAGATTGGTTTCTGTGCATCTGGTGTTATGGCTGTGCCAGAGAGCCGCTCATAGGGGACAATTTGTGACCTCAGTAGGGTGTGAAGGATGAGCCAGTACTGCCCCCCTTCCCATGAGACTGCAGTTGCCCCATCACCGCCGGCTCATACCTGGCTTTCCAATAAGCTCTGAGGCAGCAGCCACCTTGCTTCCGGGGGGGGGGGGGGGGGGGGGGGAGAAGGGAGCAACACCCTTTCCCTCCCAGGGAGGCATGACACCATAGTTTAACACATGGTCCATTCACTTTTCTACCTCAAGCTGCCAGGCTCTGGATTAAGTTCTTTTGCCTCTAGAGTCATGGCCATGCCGGAGAGCCACTCGCAGGGGGCAACTCGTGACCTCGGTAGGGCATGAAGGATGAGCCGCTACCGCCCCCACTTCCCATGAGACTGCAGTTGCCCCTTCACCACCGGCTCATACCTGGCTTTCCAATAAGCTCTGAGGCAGCATCCACCTTGTATGCAGTCCAGATGCATTTCTGCCAAAAGCCGCTGGGCTTCGAGATTTGTTTCTGAGTCTCTGGGATCATGGCCATTAAGCAGCTTTATCAGGAGCCAGAGAGGCCGTTTGTAGGCAGCGACTCAGGGTCTCGTGGGGATGGGGAGGAAAGGGCCGGTTCCATCCCCATTCCATGAGGCCCTGCGTGTTTCATCACTGCAGGCCCAAACCTGACTGGCAAGTGGCCTCTGGAGGATGGTGGTCACCAGGCCGCCAGGGGGAACAAGCCAAGGCATGAAACCTATTCCCACCTGGAGTGGCCCAGAGCCAGTAACCTACTGCAGCAACAGGACACATTTCTGCCAAAAGCCTTTGGGTTCCAAGATTCGTTTCTGAGTCTCTGGGATCATGGCCGTTAAGCAATTCAATCAGAAATCAAAGAGGCCATGCCTCCAATTATATAGCTGAGCCTGAGGTGGTTTGTGGGTGTGTCTCCCACATACCTAACTTTTGGCCGTTTACTTTCTTGGTAAACTTTGTCCCTAGTTTTTGGGGTCTGCCCGAAGGCACAGCAGCAATTTTGGGGTATCTGAAAGTCTGACGGTGCCATCAGGCTGCTGATGCACTTGCCTCACAGGTACAGATAGACCTGCTGGTGGCACCATACCCCCACTTACTGATTTATTTTCTGATCATTCTACCTGCCATTTCTTTCAGTGTGTTGGAATAAACAATATAAAGTAAGTTTGTTATGTGCGTACAAGGGCAGTTTGGGGTAAGAGGAAAACTGGGGATATTGGTGGAGGGAAGGTCACACTGGTGGTGTTGAAACACTAAATACTTGAAATAACTGTATAATGAACAATTTTGTAAATCACAGTGCTTACAATTAAAAATTAATTTTTAAAAATATGTGTCTCTACCCAAGGATAGCTGAGATAAGTACCAGGAGGTTCACTCCATGGTCTGGAGGCCAGCCGCACATGCTAGGGGGAAAGGTAGCTCAGATAGAGAAGGGAGCACCAAATAAAGGGTGTTGGGAGGATCCTCCCAGGATGAGAGATGCATGCTGAAAGTAGACTATAGACTGAACATGATAGCCACTCAATGTCTCTTTTGCAAACCACAGCACCCAAAAGGAGAGAGAGAACAAAAGGGAGTGCCCTGCCACAGAGGCAGGGTGGGATGGGGGGGATGGGGGTGGGAGGGATACTGGGATTGGTGGGGGTGGAGAATGGGCACTGGTAGTGGGATGGGTATTTGATCATTGTATAACTGAAACTCAAGCACAAAAACTTGTAAGTCTACAACTGTACCTCATGGTGTTTCACTAATAAAAAAAAAAGAATTTAAAAAAATATCGCTCCAAGGGGCTGGAGTGATAGCACAGCGGGTAGGGCGTTTGCCTTGCATGCAGCCAATATGGCCGACCCAAGTTCAATTCCTCCGCCCCTCTCGGAGAGCCTGGCAAGCTACCAAGAGTACCTCACCTGCATAGCAAAGCCTGGCAAGCTACCCGTGGCGTATTCGATATGCCAAACACAGTAACAAG